CTTGGGACCTCCGGGTTTTGGAGGAGTTTTGTGAAGGACTTCGCCACCAAGACGGAGCATTTGAGGAAGCTGGTACGTTAGGACCAGGAGTGGGTMTGGGGCGAAGACCAAGAAAAGGCTGTGGAAAGGATGAAGAAAGAATTCAAGGAAGGAGGCTTGGTGCTGGAAGCGCCGAACTACGAGGTCACGGAGGAAAAGCCATTCGTTGTTCAGACGGACGCCGGACCAACTGCCTTAGGAGGGGTCCTAATCCAGACGGATGCTGATGGGAAGGAGAGGACGTTAAGATTTGAAAGCCGCACCCTCAATACGACTGAGAGGAATTATTCCCAGTTCAAGAAGGAGACGTTGGCGGTGCTCCATTGCCTCGAATCCTTCCGGAATTACATCTTTGGCAGAAGGCTCATTTTGAGGGTGGACCTTACCGCKCCGGCGTGTTCCCTGAAAAGTTACACTCTATCTGACCCAACCATCGCGAGGTGGTTGACTTACATTTGGATGTTTAACTTTGAGTTGGAGAGGATTCCCGGGGACAACAATAGGGCAGATGGGTTGAGCCGTATCAATTGGGACGGGGCGAATCAAGGGTCAATCGGGGATGCCCCGCCAGTTGATGGGTTCTTGGACCAGGAGGAGGACGTCCGCCTCCACATAAATGAGTGGTCGCTGAGGGTGCCTAGCTGCGTCACGCATCCTATATGGCTAGCACCAAGGGGGTAYGRKCAGAAGGAGGAGTTGRTCCTCAAGCCCTTCCWGGAAGAAGATCCATGGGGAAATAGGGATGTTGGCTGGATGATGAAATTGGCATTGGCAGGGACACATAGTCTAGAAGAGGAGGTAAGGACGATAGAGGAAGGYCCGACCCAGGTAGAGGAGCATGAGCAACTAATGGGAGGGATGTACTTGCTCACCAACACGCTCCTGCAAGAGAACTTTGACCAGAGGAGCGCAGTCAGCTCCGAAGTGGGCGAACTTTTCATTCCTGAAAGTCAGGACGACGAGTTTGAAGAGGGAGAGATTAGGGGGGCCTTCCGTGCTGAGGAGTATGATGGAATTTATCGGGAATTGGGGTGACTTCTGTCGTGCGAAATAAGGGATAGGGACGCAAGTGCCAAAGCCCAGAAGATGAGGCATCTCTACGTAGTGAGAAATGACCATTTGTTCATAAAGCGACAGGTTGGGAACCCCAAGAGGATCGTATGTGGGAGGAACCGACAAATCGATGTCATAGCAGCCTTACACGATGGTATAGCAGGGGGGCACAGAGGGGTTAGTGCCACGTGTGCGAAGATAAGTGAGTTATACCATTGGGATGGAAGGCTGACTATGTTCATCAAGTACTGCCAGTCCTGTGTGCCTTGTCAGCAGAGGTCAGCGCAAAGGCCTGGGGAGCCTTTACACCCCAGGCTAGAAAGGGAAGTGGGTGCCGCCGTACACCTGGACCTCTTGTTCATGCCACTCGGGGAGGATGGAAGTAATTATATCTTCGATGCACGGGACAACCTTACTGGGTTTGTGGACGGTCGGGCTATTCGCACAACGACTGGCGCAGTTTTAGCAGGGTGCATCGAAGAGTACTACCTGCGCTATCCGTTCGTCAGAGAATTTGGGATGGACCGGGGGTCAAAGTTCACTTGTAACGAGGTGCGGACCTTGCTCGCGGGGTAGGGCGTGGTAGCAAACTATACTACTGCCGCGCACCCCCAGACGAACACACCTGTGGAGAGGGGGCACAGTACCATCACGAATCTCCTGGCTAAATGGATGGAGGGGAAGCCTAACCAATGGCCGAAGTTCCTGAGAGCAGCTTTCTTCGTGGAAAATGTTACAGTGAAAAGGACTACCAAGTATGCGTCGGTCACTCTATGGTATGGAAGGCATGCCACCTTCCCCATAGAAAGTTTTATGAAGACGTGGAGGCGCCAGGACCTGGAAGTGAACCTATCCTTTGAAGAACTGCTCGACATACGGGTGCGACAAGTGGGGGCCGCTGAAGAAAGGCTACGGGAGACCGCTGGTCAGGTGGAGAGAATTCGTATGGAAGATAAGATGAGGTGGGACCAGATGGCCCGAATAAGGAAGGAGCCGCTGAAGGTTGGAGACGTGGTGCTGCTGTACGATTCCTCGCTGGAGAAGCAGTGGTCTAGGAAACTTGACAAGCGCTGGCTGGGACCCTATAGGATCGTGCGGTGTGGCGAGTTTGGGGCCTACCAAATTGAGGAGCTGGATGGGGAAGGATGGCAGGACTGGGTATCAGGGACAAGGCTGAAGAAGTTCGTGGCCAGGGAATAGGTAAGGGGCCATGAGACCTCGTTAGGAATAGAGTCTCTCCTAGACGTTACCTAGGTCAGGTGCTTGGATAGGTGGGTGATTGGGGTGGATGAGTGTGAAGAGTATGTGGGATTCCCCTAGACTAATGGCCCAGTCGCTGACCCTGCTGTGTGCCTGTCTGTTGTCTCTCGCCTGTTGTGYAGGTCTGACCTTTCGAAGGCAGTAATGCAGAGGGGCGGGAGGGACACACGGCCACGCCAGGGGCCCCTGAGGATGGAGGGAAGGGGCGAGCAGCATGAGCCGCCTAGGAGGGAGCCTACGCCTGAGTTCGATGACGACAACATTGAGTTTTTCATGGACGTATATCGGGACCATGCGGCATAGAGAGGGTGTAGCGGACCTCGGGTTGGCCTGTGAGACCAGCCCCTTGGCCTGTTCTCACAGGCCTGTGTTGTATTCGGGGTAGGCCAGTCCAGGCCGGTACCTCTGTCGGTMCCAGCCAGTCYAGTCCAGTCCCGTCAGTCCGCTGGGGTATACCCCAGCCATTGTCTGTTTTCACTCTCATTCTTCACTTGCACATTTTGGAGTACGTGCGTTGGAGTCTTGCGTGGGGAGCTGCGTTGTGCTATCTCGCTCCCCCCTTCTTCCTCCATCTCCATCTCTGTCACTAGCGGAGCACCACACCTGGTGGGTCCGCTACATTGGTATCGGAGCGGGAACTTTCCCCGCTCCCACCCACCGCCCCGTACAGCTGTGCAGGCATACAGCTGAGGGAAATAGCAAAACCCGACATCGGTTTTTTTTCGCAGTTTTCGGGCGTTTTTCAGTGAAAACGCAGGGGAAAAGCGGCGCGCGCAAGAGGTGCCACGTGGCGAAAAAGAGAGGTGCCACAACGAGCGCGTGCGCGCCAAGGCCAAGGCCGCCGCACGCACGCGCCCATGCTCCCCGCTGCCCCGCCCCGCTCCCGGATTTATCTTATCAAGATCTGGGAGTTTTTGCTGCCGCTGGGGTTTGAACCCAGGCACCTGCCGAGCCATGCGCGTGCGTAAGAAGCCTTATAACACACTCGCCACAGTGTGTCCATGGCTTTGTAACACGGCACACTCGTGTTGAAGAGGTGCCGTGCTGGCTATTTMCCCCCCCCCCCGTGGCTGCTGCTGCTGCCTGTGCACGTGGCCATCTCCACGGCCACGTGGCAGCCTGTGGTGGGACTGAAGACCCCCCTGCTTAGGGGGCTGCTCTACAGTGGAGAGGGCCTGCTCACATAGCAGACCCTACATCTGCACATCTGCAGAAGTGCTGCTGGGGGCTGATCAAGATCTCAGCCCCCTCTCTCCTCCAACTGGCTGCTGCAGCAAAGACCAAGACCCTTCTGGTCTTGGTGTACCTTGTGCCCTTGGAGACACCAAGGG